AAGAGTACAAAGGAGACTTCAAGGATAGTAGCAACTTGCTGCATGGTAGGAAGGAAGGGAGGCATTCCAAGTGATATAATGTAATTACAGAGACACAAAAATGAGAGAGAACATGGTACATATACTATTAGTCAGGATAGGATAGGCCATGCTGAGCTAACAAATAAAACCTCATAATCTTAGTTTTTTTCATTAAAAAAAATCTGATGCCAGTTGGTCAGCTTTTCTGCAATAGAAACTCAGCATCCAGTCTGCTTCCACTTGCAACCCACTGTTTTAAAGTTTTACACCTCCTGGCATACAGACAGGAGAGAACAAACATGAAGAACTCAGACTATCTCTTAGTTTCCTTGAACCAGAAGTGCCATATCTCTTTTGCTCACTTTTCTATTTCCAAGAATTTGGTCATTGTCCCAACCTAACTGCAAAAGAAACTAGGAGATACCTTCTCATCTTCCCAGGAAGATGAAATGAGGTAGTGAACACCTAGCATTTTCCCCTCCACAACATGTTTAGGGAACTGTAAGAAGACTGGCATACCCAGAAACCAATAGGAATTATGGAGTGTGGGGGTAGAGGTGGAGAGGGGGTTGGGGGTAGTAATATATGTTGTGAAGAGAGGGTCGGTAGACAGTGCCAGGAGAGACAGGATGGTAGGTAAAGGCAACCCAAAGCCAGCATAACCACCCAGAAGGACTGGGTGGGGTCAAGAGACTGAGTGCCATGCTGAGGATAACAAGCCAATTCAATGGGAGTTTAAAGATGGAACAGGGCAAAGATAGGGAGAGGTGGTCAGTGGAGAATTCTACAGCTCAACTCCTCAACCTGAGGACCAGTAAAGGGCCAGCTCCTGCTCCCAGGACCAACCTGAAGTTCTTGTTGCTTTAATGATCAGTGCAGACCAGGATCTGGGACTCAGACCTAAAAACAAACTAAAAAGCTGGTTGTAGTCCTGCGTCCATTACCTCTGGACACTGTGTGATTCTTCCTTCAATGGCCTCGCTCCCACACTTCTCCACTGGCACTCGCTGCCAGCTGCATCCCAGCTCCCAAGGTAGGCTCACCTCCCTTTTCTCTCTGGGTTCAGCCTTTCGTCTTGTTTTTGGTGAATGTGTTTTCTTGGCCCCTTAGCTTCTGATGGGGCTCCACCTCCAGTGGTACACGCCCCTGCTGACTTCCACTCTTTTTCATACTCAGCCATCTTCCACCAGGCTTGTCAGGATTACAACATGCCAGACACTGTGCAAGCACTTTATATACAGTCATGTGATGCATAAAGATATTCTGGTCAATGATAAACCACATGTACTCTGGTGGTCTCATAAGACTATGATACTGTATTTTTACCTTACCTTCTCTATGTTTAGCTACACAAATGCTTACCATTGTGTTATCACTGCCTACAGTTTTCAGTACAGTAACATGCTATACGGATTTGCAGCCTAGGAACAATAGGCTAGACCGCCCAGGTTTGTGTACCTACATTCTATGTTTGCACAGTGACAAAATCACCTAACGAGGTGGTTTTCAGAACATATCCCTGTTGCGACACTTGCCTGTATATAACTTTCATTCTCACACCAAACTCAAGAGGTAAGTGGTGTTATTAATATTATCTCTTTTATGCAGACAAAGAAACTAAGGCAAAAGAAGTCAACTAGCCACATCCACAGCACTTGTAAATGGTCAAGCTGGAATCTGAATGTCTGGCTTTTAGCCACTGTGCTATACAGCACTAGTAAATAAAGAATGGAGAGGAGGGAAAATAGAGACAACGTAGCTTCCTGATCTTAAAAAAAGAAATGGGAGCAGCAGTTGTAATCCCTGAGAAGGGAAAAGAAACAATCTCCACTGTAGAGAATTGCAAAGGAGGAAGTGCCACCAGAGGATGAAAAAAACCTCTAATTATTCACACAAGGGGTATTTGTTTCTTAAAGGGGGACAAAGTCCTGGACAGGGTATGCCTGAATTTTTCACAGTGGAATTTCACTTGCCCTGGCAGGTGGGTGGCAGGGAGAGCTGAGGCCCCTCGAATTACAGCTCCTGGGCGCTGCCTCAGAAAAGTCCATTCGTCTTGGTAAAGCCCCTCCCACATAAGCACAATGTGGCCATCTCGAGCAGGCTCTCGGCTGGACGTGTAGTCAGCCAGGCACACAAAATGAGAACTGTTTTCCCTGCGTGCAGCTGGCGCACCCTTTCCGCTGGTCCCAGCTTCCTGGAGCCTCGCTTGCTGGCGGGGGCCACGCCCCTTCATGAATATTTATGACCACGTTGTGCTCAAGAGTCTGGGATTTCAAAGTCCCTAAAGAGATTTGAAGGACAGAAAGCGCTTCCTGATAGGGAGTTAGAAGGGAGGAAGGAGCCCGGCTTTGTAAGGGCTTGCTTTTAAGGACCACAAAGAAGAGGGGACACAGGGAAAGTGAAGCCTGCTGTTGCTAATCTAGGCTACTCAAGGTTATAAAGGGAGCTCCCTGGTAGTGTATTAAGTTTTTCAATGTCCCTCCATACAAAGTGCAATTAACTGGTGTTTCACAGACAGGCTCTCCTTCCAGCACTGGGTAGCATGAAAACAACTGAGAGTAGGTTTGTAGCTGGGTTTTACGTGTTTACTTCTATGTTTTTTGTGTCTGTCAGTCTATGTCGTGGGCTAGAAACTTTTCTTTCTTCTTTTTTCTTTTTAAGATACAAGGTCTCACTCTGCTGCCCAGCTAGAGTGCAGTCAGTGGCTTGATCATAGTTCACTGCAACCTCAAACTCCTGGGCTCAAGTGATCCTCCTGCCTCAGCCTCCTGAGTAGCTGGGACTACAGGCCTGGCCCCTATGCCCAGCTAATTTTTTTAGTTTTTGTGGAGACGAGGTCTTATTATGTTGCTCAGGCTGGTCCGGAACTCCTAGGCTCAAGTGATCCTTCTGCCACGGCCTCCCAAAGCACTAGGGAGAAACTTTTTAAAAAACTTTAAAAATACATATACTCCTAGATCTAGTTGAGACACAATCAGATTAATCATACATATTAATACTCATATTTGGCTATTATTTTTATTAATGGAGAGATTCCCAACACAGATCATCAGAAAGAGTAGGTAGTCCATAAATGTATTTCACTGACTTATAAAACAAGGTAGGCTTCTTGGGAAATGGATTCACTGTCTTTTATTGTTGTTAGGGCCATAAAAGAGTTTATTTTAGAATTCACTTAGCAGAAATTACTGGAACTTTGTTGAGTGCATCTATTCCATTAATTCTTCCATTAAGAGAGAGGCTCTGCTTTTTGCCTATGAATTGGAAATGGAAGAAATAAAATTATTGGGAGGAAACCAAAGAATAAAAGAGAATATATTATGAAAGCATTTAGCTACTTTAAAAGAAGGAAAACCCTTCCCCCACTCCAATGCTATCCCAGAGAATTGAACAAATACACAGATATAAGGCTAGAACAACTGTGAGCAGCCCATAGGATATTATGGGAAGTAGGACAGAGATCAGACAAAGGACATAGACAAATGTCGCTGTAAATGTGGAAATTATAGACAGATAAATTTGCCAATAATACCCAGCAAAGTTCTAGGTTGGATAGTAAAGTAAGCAACTAGTGAGCACTTAAAAAAACATAACATCCAGGATGGTGCAAGACCCAGAAACCACAATATCTGAGAAGTAGTTGAAAGAAATGGTGGTTTACATGTAGGAGAAGAGATCACAGAATGACTATACACTGATATTTGAAGAGCTATGATGTTGAATAGGGTATAAACTTGGTCTGTACAGCTCTAAATGGTAGAATTAGGACAAATGATTAAAAGTTACTATGAGATAAATTTTGCACCCAACATATAGAAGAACTGTTCAACAAAGCAATGAGCACTCTTGAAAAAGAGCAAGCTCACAAGTAATGAAAGTATTCCTGCAACAGGTAGAGAATGGCCTAGTCTTAGATTAGAGTTAGTCATACACCATATACATGCCACCACTCCCAGCCATGGCAGGCTATCACTGATCAATAACAGCTCTCATTCTTGCTGAGCTAAACTCAGCCTAGCAATCCTTTTAAATGTAGTGCTCTAAGCCATCACCTCTAATTCATCAGAGTTGACAGCCCATGCAACCTAGATGATCCCTTAGTGTCTCTAAGATCCTATAATTTAGAAAATTTTCCCAATAGCATAACTATAAAATATGTCTGTAAGTTAACTAGAAGGAAAGTGATAAGTACAAAATATTCTCAGGTGTCTGTGTAAGTATGTATGTTTATGTCTGTATATGTATGTTTGTGTGTACATATATGTGGAATAGTATTTAAATGGCTTGGTCCTTCGCCAAAACAGGAGTCTTATGAGAGAAGCATGTATTGACCACAGGAGTCCTTAAATAGTGAATCACAATTGGCACATGTCGATAGTTAATGGTGTTGCTTTATAAATTCCTGCCCATTTTCTCCTCTACAAAATTCAAAACTTTTCCCACTCCTTATAAAATTTTAAATTTATTTTGTAAGTTGTCACTTTTCTATCAAGGGCAGGTTGATAGAAAAGGAAAGAACATGAGGAGTTGGCAGAGAGATTGCTAGGGTACTTGCAAACCCTCAAGAGAAGGAGGGATTTTATAATTAAGCAGAAGTGACCAAAGAGAGGTCAATAAGTGACCAAATTGCAATGTCCAAAGATATTAGCAAACTTAGATCCCAAGCTAAAGGATGGGCAGAAGGAGCTCCTTCCGGAAGGACTAGTGGTGAAGACGGATGGGTGGTAGCTCATATTTTGGTTCCCCAGTTAACTATTAAAAGGAACAAAGAATCCAACCTACCTCCCATGAGAGGGATAAAGTTGCAAAGACAATTTAGTGGGAAAAAATATAATATTTTCAATAAGTAGTGCTAGAATAACTGGATATTGGTATGCAAAAACAAAGCTCCTTGATCCATACCTCTCACCGTATACAAAATTAACTCAAAATTAATCATAGACCTAAATCTAAAACTGAAAACTATAAAACTTCTTGCAGTGTACTTTTTAAAAAAAAAAATTAAGATATTTAAATTTTAAAATTGAGACCATTTAAAGAAAAATATAAGTAAGTAAGTCTCTACAGGTGGGATGCAGATATGCAAAAATTGTTGGCATCCCACCATTGCTCTTTGCCACACTGCCTCCGAGGGATAGGGAGGTGTCATAGCCCCATCCAGGCAGGATGGTGTTTAATACAGAACTCTAGTCTCAGGAGGAATGTCTGTGCAAACCAGGAAACTACACCGGAACTTCATCATGTGGGCACCGGAATCTCTGTTGGAAGAGGGTAAGAGGAAGCTGCTGTCTGCAACCCGGTGCTTCTCCAGCCTCCCAGAATCTCAAGCTTAGGAGACAGGAACATGAATCCCGGTTGTCACTAGCCAACACTTGTGCAGTTACTCTTCAGCAGCCTGTCCTGGACAGAGTTGGTTCAGCTGGGCAGGCCAGAACCTGAAAAGTAAAGATGTCCATACCTGTGGCTAAGTGAGCAGAGTAAGGTAAGAGGAAGGAGTGTTGTTCATCTCATGTCTTAAATTCTTGGACCTTAAATTATGACATCCGTTACAATATCTTCATTTATTAGGATCAAACTCCAATATGTCAAGAATTCTAAAAGAAGGCTGGGCGAGGTGGTTCACACATGTAATCCTAGCACTCTGGGAGACCGAGGCAGGCAGATTGCTTGAGGTCAGAAGTTCGAAACCAGCCTGAGGAAGAGGGAGACCCCGTCTCTACTATAAATAGAAAGAAATTAATTGGCCAACTAATATATATTAAAAAAATTATCCGGGCATGGTGGCGCATGCCTATAGTCCCAGCTACTTGGGAGGCTGAGGCAGCAATATTGCCTGAGCCCAGGAGTTTGAGGTTGCTGTGAGCTAGGCTGACGCCATGGCACTCACTCTAGCCTGGGCAACAAAGTGAGACTCTGTCTCAAAAAAAAAAAAAAAAAAAAAATTCTAAAAGAAGATGTGACAAATCTTTCAAAGGATCCACTGCCAATTGATTTTCTAAGAAAGTAACAAATAAAATTTTCCTTCCTTGCTTACTCATAAAAGTCTTAGAAGTATAAAGGCAGTATGTTGTAAAGTTTAAAAACAATGGCCAGTCGTGGTGGCTCACGCCTGTAATCCTAGCACTCTGGGAGGCCGAGGCGGGAGGATCGCTCAACGTCAGGAGTTCAAAACCAGCCTGAGCAAGAGCGAGACCCCGTCTCTACTACAAATAGAAAGAAATTAATTGGACAACTAAAAATATATAGAAAAAATTAGCTGGGCATGGTGGCATGTGCCTGTAGTCCCAGCTCTGTAGGAGGCTGAGGCAGAAGGATTGCTTGAGTCCCAGAGTTTGAGGTTGCTGTGAGCTAGGCTGATGCCACGGCACTCTAGCCCAGGCAACAGAGTGAGACTCTGACTCAAAATAAAAAACAAAAAACAAAAAAAAAACATTATCTATGGTGTCAGATTGCCTGAGTTCAAATTCTAGCTCTGCCTCCTCTTAGCTGTGTAAGCTTGGCCTGGGTTATCAAGCTTCCTAAACCTTCGTTTCCTCTTTTGTAAAATGGAGGTAACCAAAAAAATAAATAAATAAATAAATAAGGAAAAGATAAAGCCTTTATTTCATGGTGCATTTAGCACATAGTAGGCACACGGTGAGCTTGAGTTACAGAGCATAGAGACAACTTCAAGATCATCTGGAACCTCTCTCTCCTCGGCTGTACTAGTAGAGCAAGGCCCAGAGACGCTGGTGACCTACCCAATATCTCACAGCAAAATTAGGGGCATACCTGCTTTTTTAGAAACTGAAGTACTGTCCTTTTCATTTCAGCTTCCTTTCCCTCTCTTGGTGGTTGGTATCATTTCCCTGGTACCTCCTCCTCTTATGCCAGGCTGACAACAACTTGTACCATATTTTACTCCATGATTTTCTATGGCTTCGCTGTGACCCCACATTCTTTCGCACTCCTACATTGTGAAAGCTGAACACCATCTGTCATTTGATCGGCGCACAACGGTCCCTCAAGAGCTTGGTAAATGCCTTTTCTATGAAACATCCTTCCCTTTTAAGCATAATGCAATGTTATAAATTAACTTTCAAGATCTACTTAGGGTAGAATGGATGATAAGACAGGACCATACGTAAACATGATCTCCCCCTGGGCAGCATGACTATAAATATACCAAGATGTGCCCCTCTTGAGCTAACAACAAATCACCTAATGATCTTCCACTTCCAGGCTTTTAAGAGCCCTTCTCTCAGAAAGAAAAAATAATACATTGGTTTCTACATCATCTCTTCAAATTATAGGCAGAAGCTACTATTCCAAAAAGATGATCTAGTCACACAGGCTAATAATGCAGGTGGAAATCTTTGCCCTTCTGTCTATTTTCCCAAAGTCTATAGGGTAGAGTCATAAATTACAGCAGGTTTTACTAATAACAGCTCACCAGAAGGACAAGCTATTTGGAAATTAGGTCACATCTTAGGGCTTTCTGCCAGACTCATACACAGGAATAGTAACATCATTGCCAGAAGTATCTTTGAACACAAAGAACAATGACAAATAATATTGTTCTGCTAGGAATTGCTGAACGGCTGGATTCCTTGTGTGTAGGGTGTCTTGGAGGAAAAGTTCCCTGACAAAAAAGAAAGGGATTGAGGGAAATGCTTTCTCAATGTCTGCCTCTCCAAAATAGGCTTTTCTATATCAATTTTCTTATAATTTATATTTCCTGCACTAATAATAAAATGCCTGGCACAGAGTAGGGGATTAAAATGTACAGAAATAGAGAAATGAATGATCTATTTTCTCTTCCTCTATTATCCCATCACATACTGCCTTGGAGATACACACAAATAAGAACAAGCTTTACCAGTGAAGAGCTCAGACTCTCATTTTAGTTCTGTTTCTGATGTTTGTGGGATATTTAGTCAGGGCTTCAAGTGACCTTTGAGTGCCCAGCATGCTGCCCTTGTCACATCACCTGTCCTTTCTACCTTGGAGAAAGATCCTATCAGGGAAAAGAACAAGTTTAAAGTCCTACCACAGGTTGCACCTCAGAGCCTGTTGGAAATGTGGAATCGCAGGCCCCATCCTAGAATCATAATCTGCATTTCGACTCCCCAAGAGAGTCATGCAAACATTCAAGTTTGAAAAGCGTTAGTTTGAAGCCTGCTTGGAAGGTGGATCCTCCAAACACCACTGCCAGCTGGTCTCTGAAGATGTCCAGCCTAAGATTATATTTTGAGTTGACAATGGTTTTCAGAAAGGAAAAAAAAGACAAGGAGCCCACCAGATTTCCAAAGCTCAGAAATCGACAGCAGTCCTTAGATTCATGGCAAGGAACAGAACAAGTGCTCCAAGGGACAGAGGTGCACTATTGGCACAGGCAGGCAAGCAAAACTCCCTTTTGTACATCTCAGCAAGACTTTGAAACTATCCAGGGCCTCTTGTTATTTTTCATCTGTGTGTTTCATAAAAACTCCTGCCAAAGCATTTCAAAACTTGAAATTACAACTGATCGCCTAGTTGTCTATTAAAAGAATAAAGCTCCTTGGGGGGCGCAAATTCCCAGTTCAGAAGAAATCAATACAAAATTTTAATCTGTCAGTGATAAATTATTGTATGTATCGATTTCCCAGCTTTTAGGGCTCTTAGCAGCAACAGGGAAAAGGCTAATCATTCTTTGTGTGTGCACTTAGAACATAGCCCCAGGGAGCAGGGAGCTTGCCCGTTAGTCAAGAATATGTTATAAACAAATTATAGGCAAAAATGTCTTTAACCATGACAAAATTCTCCATTTCAGCTCCTCTTTAGCATTTATAAGGCAGACAATACCAGGGATGGAACAAACGTTTAACAGCCATCTGCTTTGCATACAGAATTAGACAGACAGATTCACATGCAGTGTGGTACTTTAATCTTTCTTTTAAAATACTGCCAGCAGCACTGTTCAATGAAACCCTCTCCTTCAGTGCAAACTCTAAAAAACACACTTCCCTCACCCCTCTCCACTGGTTAAAATCCTACTTATTCTTCATGGAGCTCCTCTGTAGGACCTTCTCAAAACCCACAAACTAGAGTTCTCTTGCTCCTTCTGTGTTCCCATAGCAAGTTATGGGATCTTCTAGAACATGGAATTCTTTCTTCCTTCCAGTATAGTTTTTTGGCATGCTATATCTCTATTGCTACACTGCTTGCTTCTTTAAAGCTACTCCTTATTAATCTTTGTGGTTTTCCATTTAGAACAATGCTTAGCACATCATGGGCAGTCCATAAATACTGATTGATTTGAGCAAATGAGGGCTTATTAAGTTCTCACTATCCAGTAGCTCATAGCCCAGTTTGACCAAAGAACAATCAATATGGAAAAGCAAATATTAGGAGAAAAGCAATGGGACTCCTTAGGTCTTAATTCTCTTTGTCAAGCAGTCAACAAATATTTAACTAGTACCTATTGTGTACTTAGAAAGATGAAATTATAAAACTAGGAGGAGGAAGTTCCAATCAGTTTAGGAAGACAAGAGGGGAGGGATGTGGAAGTAAAAGATGGTAATAGGAAGCAGGTGGAATTATATCCATCCTCTTTCTATACCATCAGTTGTCATGGCCCATTTACAGGACGAAGGATGAACACAGAGCACAAAACACAAACGCAGGACACAAAGAAAAACATGGACACACATACAGACTGTTGACTCGAGTGATAATACACCGGGTTACTTTTATTTTTATGCTCTAAAAAATTAAAGTTGGTTTCTTGTACATAACCACCAGGCATTGCAGCAATGGCCATAAATTCCAGAATATGTAGCCTTAGGGAAGCAGATATCCCCTGGCTCAAGGTTTCCAGGTGGTTGCTCTAGGCACTAGGCATAGATCATGGACTGAGATTAGCAAGGATGTGCAAGGCAAGTCACAGGGGGCATTTCTCATTCCCAGTTTTTCTTAGGGTGTTCCCCTAAGATCTTTGGCTGAACTGTGGCGGCTGTGACTGGCTTAGGTCGCCCCTCCCTTGAGGGGTCTTACCTGTCATTGACTAACCAGCCATCTTATGGGGTGTACACAGCGATCACAGGAACAATGTGTTTATCGTGTGGCCTCCAGACCTCCAATGCTGTGGGGCGTGGTAGCTCTTGCTTACTTGCAACTCAGGTCCTTTGTTATGCCTCTAGGCAATACCTTGTTTTTATTATGCCCCAAGGCAACAGGGGCTTTGTCCGGAACATATTACTTTTAAATGCTCTGGGCAGAGCACATACATTACTAAATTTAATTCTTAAAATAGGAAAATATATGTCAGTCCCCTACAATTGGTTCCTCTCCCATTGATGTACTACTGCTGTCTTCTGCTTCTTCACTTCTTTGCCACGTCCCTGTATTGTATGTGCATCTAGTGTAGCTCTTATCACCCTATTTCTAATTAAGTCAGGAAATTAAGCATGAGCCTAGGCCATAGCTGGGATTCAAGTATGTCTGTTTCCCAGCAATAACTCAAGGACCAAGACTGTTCCTATAGAAAGGAGCTGGAGGAGAATTTGAAAAGGCTGTGATCATCAAGACTTTAGAGGAGAAGAGGCCCGGATACCTCTGCACTGGGACCCAGAAAACAGTGTTGCAGTGAGCAAGGGAAGAGTCATTCTCCCCATTTCTGCATGGAGGATAGCTTGATGGCAGTGAGATGTGGGTTGAAGGACTAACCCTATTTTGACATTTATTCATTGAACAATCACATGTGTATTGAGCAGCTATTAATAGTAAGTGTCCAGCACAGTTCTATGCCTGATGAATACACAACACTGAAGAAAATGGATAAAGCTCCCACCTTTGTGGAGCTCATTGCTGGTATGTGATGACCAGGAGGCACTATCTACAGCAGAGTGTTTATGGTCTTTTAAACCTCTCTTCCCACCCTCCCCCTAAAAAGAGCAACTGGCTGATATTGAGAAGGAAATGGCTAATTCTGCTGGCCCCATTTTCTTCCTGTCTTTTAGCTGTACATTTGCTCACTAGGTTAATCTAGCCTTTTCCTTTTCAGAGCAGATAGGTTTGGAAAACAATACGAATTCTCTACTCTGAGCTGTTCTAGAAACACTGGCTGCCAGTCAGACTGCCTACTACAGAGATTTTTTTTCCCTGTTAAAACATCTCCTAGAGTTTTTTTAAAAACAATGTAAAAAGCTTTAAACTAGTATAAAAAGGTAGTACTGCTTTCCTCCACCATTAAATAAAAGTTTTAAAAGTTAAACAAATAAATAAGAAACACCAGACACCTGGCATCCTGGAGGCTTGAAAGCAGCAGCTATCAATAGGGACAACTGGACTGGGAACTGGACTGGACAACTGCAGTGTGTCCACTGGGGAAATCCAAGTGAAAACCCTAGAAGGAGGCTCTTTCCACATGTGCAAGTGGGGCAAAGCCTTTAAAACCTGGGTTATTTCTCTTATGAGGACCATATTTGTACTTATGGACTGGTTAAAGCTAGGCAAATTTGGGTACATTATAAGTTATTTACTTATTTCCTCCCCTATTAAACTATGGACACATTGAGGGTAGGGACTTTATCTCACCAGTACCTAGGAGAGTGACTGGCATAGCTAGGTGCCTAATAATTATATGAAAAAGGAAGGAAGGGGGAAAGGCAAATACTCAATGATTGTAAATATTAAGATGGATCTACTTTTTGCAAATAGCAGGAATCCATTCAGAGCCAAGACTGGTGACAATGTGATATATCTCCATCAATAACAGATGTTAAAATAAAGTGAGGAGATTGGCAGTATTTCAAAGATACTTTGAGAAATGACAGCCTTATTGGAATATAACTCCCAGTTGCAACTGCATTTAACAAAATACATTGGATGTCTGAGCTACAGCATGTGTGCTAAAATCTTTCTGATATGTTATAGTCACACCTCATGTGTCAAGTGCTAGATTGTGTGTTATTGATCATAAGGCCTGTAGGAAATCATTATCAGGAAAAGTTTTCATCTACCCATTTTTTAAAATAATTAATATTACAATCCTGGCACTGAAATACTGAACTAAAGAAGTGGAGAGCCAAAGAGAAAAAATGACATAAAACCGATCAACATCATAACCAAAAAAGGAGCAAAAAAAAAAAAATTAAAGTAGTATGCAAAAAGGAAATCTAAAAAGAATGGTAAGGATGCCTTTGTTTACAAATAACAGAAAGAAACTCTGGGTAGTTTAAGTAACCAAGAAGACTTGTTGGACAAGTAACAATAAAGTGATATCCAGCCAATTCACTCCAGTATGGTAATCCTACATATTTATGGTTGGCTGGTGTTCATGCTGTACCCTTTGTTAATATTTTGGCCATCAGCTCTGGACACTGGAGTTTCTCATAGACTACAATGGCTAGATGTAGCTAGAACCCCAAAATGGATGGGAACCTATATATCAGATATGCCAGTTTTGGCAATAAGTAACAAAACACTCAGACTTAAGCTAGCTCACAGCAGGGATTGGCAAGCAACAGCCTGTAGGTTGGCCACCTGTTTTATTTGAACACATTCATGTCCATTCATGTATACATTGTCTAGGGCTGCTTTTGAGCTACAACAGCAGCCTTGACAAAGACCTTTGTAACAAAGACCTTACAGTCTGCAATCTTAAAATATTTACTATTGGTGACCCTTGGCTTCTATAACGGTCATTTATTATCTTATATATTTTACTGAGTGCCTTTAAGATAAAGGCAAAGTTGGTGACCCTTGGCTTCTATAACGGTCATTTATTATCTTATATATTTTACTGAGTGCCAACGTGGGCTCAAAAATGCCATCAAAGGCCCAGACTTTTTAGAATTCTTCTTGCTCCCATCTTCAGCAGTGCTCTAATCCCAGGATGGTCACTTTCCTGGTGGCAAGAGAGCTGACAATGGTCATCAGAACAATGTGCTTCCTTGTTCATGTCCAGCAGAAGAATAATTTTTCCCCAGGGCAAGGAATATAAATCTTCAATCAGATAGAGCCAATTTACAGCATGTGCCCATCCCTGGATCAATATAGTTGCCAGGAGATTGCCATGCACATACAGTCTTAGACGGATCTGCAACCACCTCTAGGGATGGGTGGATCCAGAGTAATATCAGCATTAAGAAACGGAGAGTGAATGTTAGGTCAGCAAGCAACACTTCCCCGACAACTGGGCACTAGAGAACTATGGGAACTTAGAAATCCTCTCCTTCTCCACTCTCTAATTTTCTGCTTCCCTCTTTGGCTCTAATTCATTGTTCTTTCTTATCGCAATCTGATTTCTTTTGCTTCTCCCAACACATAGTGGAAAATACAGCTTTCAATACCTCAGATATTTACTATCATAGTCTGAGAGCTCAAAGACACGGAGCTCTCATTTTCTCCATCTTATTTTCAAATTTGTGGGGAAAGATTTTAATTCCCTCAGCCAGGGTCAGGATCGTCCTTCAACCAAAAGTGGAGTTATGTTATTGAATTTGGAAACTCTCACTATAACCATGTGGATTGTAGTAATAGTAGACAGTGGGTTAATTCTGGAAAAGTGTATTGGGCAAATAAGCCAATAGGTGTCTGCTACAGTCTGTTTATTTCTTCATGTCAGATTTAATAGTTCAATATTTTCCATTATAGGTGATTGTGCATTAGGATTATTTTTCATTTTGAGAAACACAGACACAAAAGAACAGTCATTTAAACAAGATAGTTTATACTTCATATCAAGCTGCAGAGGTAGGGAAGCTGGTATGACATTTCTGCCCACTCATCTGCAGTGTTGCCTATGTCGTCATGGCCCAAGATAGAAGCTAGAGATGCTGTTTTCATGTCCACAATTGTAGGCAGCAGGACAGAGAAAGGGATAAAGAAGGGGCAATAGATACACACCATCTGTCATTTAAGGAAAAGCCCAGAAGTTGCCATATAATACTTCCAGTTAGTCCTTTGCAAGGGAAACTGAGAAATAGCTTCTTTTTGTTGTTGCTATTGTTATTTTACTGGACAGCTACATGCCCAGCTTAAAAGTTAGGGAATCTATTACTATGGAAGAAGAGAACATATATTAAATGACCAATACTGATTTTTTTTTTCATTTTTAGAATATATAAGACTAGGCCAGGTGCGGTGGCTCCCGCCTATAATCCTAGCACTCTGGAAGGCTGAGGAGGGAGGATCACTCAAGGTCCAGAGTTTGAAATCAGCCTGAGCAAGAGCAAGACCCCATCTCTACTAAAAATAGAAAGAAATTAATTGGCTAACTAAAAGTATATAGAAGAAATAGCCGGGCATGGTGGCACATGCCTGTAGTCCAAGCTACTTGGGAGGCTGAGGCAGGAGGATCTCTTGAGCCCAGGAGTTTGAGGTTGCTGTGAGCTAGACTGACACCATGGCACTCTGGCATGGGCAACAGAGTGAGACTCTGACTCAAAAAAGAATATACAAGACTCTTAAGCTAAAAGAGTTTCTTTTTTATTAATTTATTTCTAATTGACGAATAATTGTGTATCTTTATGGAGTTCAGTGTGATGTTTTGATCTATGTATACATTGTAGAAAGATTCAATCAAGCTAATTAACATATCCATCAACTCACCAACTTACCACTTTTTTGTGGTGAGGGCGTTAAAAATTTATTCTTTTAGCAATTTTGAAATAATACAATACACCACACTGCATGGTGACCACAGTTAAAATAATTTCTTTTTAACTCAAAGGGAAAAAAAGTAGTCATCATTAAGGAACATAAAGGAGAGTTTTAAAATAGCACTCATGTATTGTACCCCCATAATTGAAACTGAAATTTAAGTTGAAAGCAACAGTAAAGTAACAGAAAAAATTACAAAACACAGAAAATGTTTACTTATGTCATGTTTGGCCTTTGACTAAATGTAATGCTGTGTCCTCGTGAGGAATTATCTGCCAGACTGTAACAACTAGTTCATGTCACTTTAGACAAAATTCTGTGTAATTCTGTAGGTGTTGTAGTATAAAAAGAGACATATTAGCATTCCTTAAATTCACACTTACTCTTAGAAACAGGAAATGCTGACAAGCTATTATTTAAGCCCGGGAACCTTCTCCCACTGACTAGGTTATCAAAATGGAAAAGTCCAGAATGACCAGGTATATTTGCTCAACAAAAAGAAAAGTGTTCCAGTTCTACTTACTGCAATGATAGCTTGTAAAGTCTCCATCAAAGGGTTTGTAACTTGCCTTTCAAATTATGATTAATGGGCCTACTCTTTTCATAGCTCGTTTCCTATGGAAAGAAGATTCAAATAATATTCTCCATGCTACTGTGGTCTGTTCTTAATAGTGACTACCATAAGCCTGACTCAGTCCATTTAGATTTAGAAAAAAATAATAAAGCTCAGGCTTCATGCCTGTGAATGAATGGGGAGTAGAGAAAGAGATTTTTTTTTAGTACCTGAAAAGTTCCAGCAGAACTAAGCCTCATTGCCAAGGGTGTGCCAGCTGTTCCGGGCAACGCCTTTCCTGCAGTTAGGGAGTACAAGAGCACATACGTCAAGTATTATTTGGTGACAAGAATAGAACATTATTCTGAGCAATAAAGTGTTATTCAAATTCTACCAAAGTACACAGATGCTGTAACATGGTAATTATTCTAAGAAAGAGTGTTTAATTTAGAAATTACCTAACCTTTTTGGTTTCTATTTTTGATGACATTTGTAATCTAAATGAGCAACAAACCTGTGCCTTCTCAGTCTTTTCCATCAAACTCCAAACCTGATTTGCAATTTTATTTTAGAATCAGCAACACATTTAATAGCGTTCAATCTGGATCTCAGAGATGTAAGGCCATTCTAGGTCCAGGTAATCTGCAGACAAGGAATAAAGAAATAAAAGAAATTAGTGCTATTGTTTTCAAGCAAAGCAGAAGAGTTAACTATGTCACCATTTGACTGTCACCTTCCCCTCCTGTCTGCCCCAAGAAGTCTGGGCAGAAGAGGAAGTCACAGAATGGCTGATGTTTGTCGACTGTTAGGACTTTAGCCTTTCCCTGTGAACCAACAAAATAATCAATCCAACCTTGATTATACTTAATTAAATTTTAGATCTTCAGCAAATCCACTCATTAAGTCATTCTTTTGGCAATAATTTTTCAAGCACATATCTGTACTGGGCTCTGTGCTAAACTATGAGTATATACAGAATGATCAGAAAAGGTCACTATTCTCAAAAAACTTACCACCCAATGACGGTGGTACTAGTTTCAATTATAGAAAGAATGAGCACATATATAGGAAGTGATCAACAGGAAATATGTATAAATGATCATAATGGTAGATGGAATCGTGGGTAATATTTTTAATTTTCTAAACTTCCAATAATGTTATCATATTCCTATAATTATATTAATGTTTTTGATTTTTTAAAAAAACAGTAATCTCAAGTCCTAGTGTTAAAAATTGAGTGATGAATTTTGATTTCTTTAAATAAAGTTACTTTAAGTAATAGTCCATTATAAATAACAAACAGTTGCCTTTTTTCCTTTTTCTTTTTTCTTTTCTTTTCTTTTCTTTTTTATTATTATTTTTTTGTGTGTGTGTGTGTGCCCCAGGCATGAAACAGCTCTGGCTATGAACCCCAGGAACAAGCTAGGATAAACAAAGGACTGTCCATCTGCTCTGCCCCTGACTGATGTAAGAGCAACACCACCAATGAGGCATCTTTTTGCTAATTGCCAGGGGCAACAGTTGCTTTTTTAAAACATACAATCATTATGTAGATTATATCTATTATATGCATAATACAGTTATTATAGCAAATTCACTTAAGGCTTCCTGGGAGCAGGGAAAAAGTCATGGGTACAAACCAGAGAATAAAATAGCTTATGCTATTTTAGGCCTTCCAGTGAGGACAGTGAGAGAAATGACCCTTTTTAACCTCTATACAAACCATGCTGTCATTTACTACGCACCTACAATATAGTGGCTAAACTTACCAGGAAACACTCAAGCAGCCTCAGAAATTGAGTCATTAGTACATACAGTCTATCTCATAATACTGACAAAAGTACTTCTTGAAATGTCTCAAAGAAGAGAACTATTAATATAAACATGTAACAGCTATAGTTGTTGTCAGATGTGGACCAATAGTAGTCAACAACGGTTTTACCCACAAACCAACTGACGGTTAGGAGCCCACCCCCGTGTAGCTGAAAAAACAGAGCCATGAATTCAAGGGCCCTGACAGTGCTGGGAATACTATGAACACTATCCTGATGGGGTTTATGAGTATTACCCTTTAAAGATAGTATAGTATAGTATAATTTTGACCATGAAACCTGATTAATTCTATACTTTAGTTAAATACCCTTCTGATGCCTCCAGAGCAGTATGAGTATTCTAAAGGAGGCTGACCAAAAAAAAAAAAAAAAAAAAGGGGGGGGGGATGGAAAGAAGAGATGCTTATCAAGTTCTTCAAAAGTAACAGTTGAAGTGAACAAACTGTTGTGGGTGCTTTTAATCTGTGAGTTTACAAAGTCATATGCTCATTTCTGTCATCAGGAAGTAAGAGATAAAATCACTGAATCAACACAGATACGGTTTTTACAGACTTTTCTCATTTCTGGCATTAATGCCTGTAAAGTTTTGAACTTTCATTCATTCAAATACATTTATTAATTTCCTAACATGTGCCAGGCACGGATCTAGTGCTTAGTGAACTAAACCAGCCAAGAGCCCCATCCTTATGGAGGTTACATTCTAGGTGGAAGACAGAAAATAAACTATAACCACAATAAGTAAGTCATTTCAATAGGACATTAGATGGGATAAATGCTATGGGAAAGGAAATCTTAGACCAGGGTAAGGAATCGGCAGTGCTGAGTATGAAGAGGGAAGGCAAGTCCAGTTCTAGAAAGGTGCCCTCTCCGAGGAGGTGAGAACTGAGTGAACATGTAGCGAAGGTTGGGGGAGTGGGCCATGTGCTCACGGGGAAAACATCCCAGGCTGAGGGACCACACATGTCTGGGGTGTCTGAGGAACAGCAGGGAGATCAGCATGGCTGGAGTGGAATGAGGAAAGGTGAGGTTAGCAAGAGTTGAAGCCAAAGAGGTGAGTGGGAGCAGGTCATCTGGGCTGTGGAGGCCTTTGTGAGGACTTGCATTTTACTGTGAATGAAATAGGCTGCCGTTGTGAATTTTGAACAGAGGAGTGATATGAGTGACTTACATATTTGAAGTATCACTCTGACTGAATTCACACAGTGGCAAGGGTAGAAGTCGGGGAGACTTGGTAGGAATGACTTTGACACTCCGAGAGAGAGATGGTGGGGGCTCAGAACAGAGTGGTAGCAATGGAGATGGTGAGAAGTGGTCAGATTCGGGATGCATTTTCAAGGAGGAGCCAACAGGATTTGCATGTGAGAAAAGAGAAAAAGAGAGAGGAGTCAAGAAGAACTCTAAAGGTTTTGGATAGAGTCACCATCAACTGAGGGGGTGTAGACTGTGAGTGGAGCAGGCTTTAAAAGGAAGAACAGGAGTCCAAGTTTGGACCTGTTAAGTCTGATATGTCAAGTAGACAGTTGGATAAAGGTCTGGAGTTCAGAAGAGAAGCCTGAGCTGGAGATATACATTTGGCAGCTTCTAGAAGACATTTAAAGCCACAAAACTGGGTGAGATCACCACAAGAGTGAGTAAGGAAGAGAAGAGACCTAAGGCTAGAGCCTGGGGCCCTCCAAGATTATGAGGTCAGGGAGAAGAGGAGGAACCAGCAGAGGAGTCTGAGAAGGAATGCTCAGTGAGGAGGAGGAAAGGGAGAAAGTGTATGTTCTGGAAGCCAGGTAAAGAAACTGTTTCAGAGAAAAAGGAGTAAACAGCTGCATCAAATGCTACTGACACATACCTAAGATGTGGCCTGAGGTCTGACCGATGGGCTTAGAAAGGTGTAGGTCATCGGTGGCTTGGAAAAGGCCAGTCTTGCGAGTGTTCAGGGGAAACACCTGTTTGGAGAGAATTTAAGAGGCAATAAAAAGAGAGAAATTAGGAAAGTAGAGGCAACAAATACAAATAATCCTTTAGAAAAATTGTGCTTCAAAAAAGGAATATAACAAAAGGAGCTGTAGCCCCATTTTTCTTAAATGTTTCTGTTATGTATTAATGTGAAAAATTAATAAGTGCCAAATGAATGCCCTCTTTTTTTCAAGTAGGTAAACATGTCTAATATATGTCTAGTAAACACCATGTAATTATTAGAAAATTGGTTCTTTACTAGGGAATTATTTAACAAACTACGGATACTGTTTTCTGTATAAGGTCATTTCAGACATTAAAAAAAAATCACCTGTATTATAAAAGCTCCTTTATGCAAAAGAGGCCTTCTCAAATTAATATATATTCTGGGTTTCTTGCTCCTGTCCTTCTCAAAATGCTACCATTCATTCCAGAAGGAACATCATAGTGACACCTAAGTTCAGCAAGCTTTGCTACTTATACCCAGGGCCTTGCACCTCTCAGCATCTAATGTCTTACCTCCAGTAATTCTCCTCAAGGGGAAAGGGTGGGTGCATTGCTGTGCAGGCCCTGTGGGTGTGGGAAAGGCAGAGACAGAGGAGAATCGTGTCTTAGAAGTCAGATCTGACTCCAGTGACCTATTTTGATTATAATATTGGTTTTTCTTTTAATAACTAAGGCTAACTTGAAACCCAAAGGCACGTGTATTTGTTTTTAAGACTTTCTTTCTCTTTAAGGAGTAGAAAGAGCAGGAATTTTTGCTATGTTGCTCTTTATCACATTCAAACTATATATAAGCCACATCATGACATCTAAGTCACTGCTAATATTATGAAACTCACATTTTAAAAATCTGACTTAATTTAAACAGTTTAAATACATCCTCAAAAAGAGATAATATTTATTTCATCCGCAATCACAGGTAAAGATTGTCTCCAAGCAAAAGAAATATGTTTTATCTTTTATCTTTTCCCTGACACAGATCATTCCTCACCTAGCTATGTAAGTATTACAGTTTCATTCTGTGAGAATAAATGTTGAAATCATATTCAATATACCACAGAGAATTTACTGCTACTGCCATTTTTAAAAACTACAAACCACTACTAATTTTCAGAATTATAATTACCTATAAGATTAAAATACTATGAAGAAAACTCATTGCTGTGTGAGCAATTTTCCAACTGTGTTACAGCAGAATGATCAAGAGCACTAGCTTTGGGACCACTGAAGACTGTGATGACCCAGAAAATGCCAATGAAGGGGAGGGCTCGCCCTCCTGGGTCCACCTGGCACTGTGGGGGCAGGCACAGCAAAGGGTGGTGTCTAGGAGGTGACAGCCCTCATGAAGAAGGGTCTGGAAAGACAGAACGTCAGAAGGATGCGGGGCCTCACGCTCCCACAGGGCGCCAGCTACTGTGGGGCAACCAGGCCTCCGTGCAGCAGAAGAGGCAGTGCAGGGAGAGCCATGTGCTCAGGCCCTGGCCACCTGCAAGTAGGAGAAGTTCCGGGACCAGCCAGGCCAACACACCTACAACAACAAAGCCAGAGATTTGATGAATGAAGGGAGCAAGTATGTGGATAAGCACATAAACCACATCACTTCCACGGTCACAAATATAAAGGGGCCTCTTTCATCCACTGGGAAATGAGAATCTTTGCTCATGGTCACCGAGGGGTGGGAGCAGGAATCTATATACCTCTATGAGATGTCTAGTCTTTTAATTGCAGGGGTCCCCAACCTATGGTGAGGTGTATAATTATTTCATTATTATTGCAATGTAATAACAATAGACATAAAGTGCACAATAAATGTAATGGGCTTGAATCATCTTGAAACCATTTCTTTGTCACCCCTCTGCCACCCCCGTTCCGTGGAAATATTGTCTTCCATGAAAACGGTTCTTGGTTCCAAAAAGATTGGGGACCACTGTTTTAAAGGAATGGGATGTTTCATCTTTTAAGCGAAATTAAGGAATGAAGAATTGCATCAAGTTCAAGTAATGTGTTAACTTGCCACTGGACACTTGGCTCCATTTTACATTTTCATCAATAGAAACATAAATGGAAGAAAGTGATGCTAAAATTTGGGTTGGGGTAATACTATATTTTTCTAGAGCACAGACTGCATGCAGTGAGAGCCAGTTTTAGCAGCACGGATCTCCTTTGTCCTACCAAGCCAGAGCCCTCAGAAGTACCAATTGTTTCTGGTATACAAGTAGCAACAAACTGACAGGTTCCCCTAATTTGCCTGTGGTCTGGTGGAATTTGAAGAGGGTAATTCTGTTTGTTGCCAGCCTCCCATATACCAGGAGTGCCACCACGCCATTCTCCATAGGCCATGAAGAAACACCCATGAGATCATTTGTAATTTGAAGAGAAAAAATATTTTGGGGATATTTTTGTTTGGTTTGGTTTTAATATTTGCTACGATGTGAATGTATCCCTCAAAGTTCATGTGTTGGAAACGCAACGGTGTTAAATAGGATTTTTAAGAGGTGAATGGATGAATGCTGTTGTTACTGTAGTTTGTTAGCTATTGCTGGAGTAGGTTTCTGATAAAAGAATAAGTTCGATCCCTTCCCCACCCCCATACTGTTGCCCTTACACCCTCCTCCATAGGATAACATAGCAAGCAGGACCTCACCAAATGCAGACCCCTTGACCTTGGACTCCCAGCTTCCAGAACTGTAAGAAATAAATCTGTTCTTTATACATTACCCTATAAATTACCCAGCCTCAGATATTCTGTTATAGCAGCACAACATGAACAAAGACAATATTCAAGGGCTTGAAACTGATTAAGATGTAGAGTCGAGCAAGTCACAGTGGCCAGCCTATAATCTCAGCACTTTGGGAGGTGGAGGTGGGAGGGTTGCTTGAGGCCAGGAGTTTGAGATCAGCCTGAGAAACATAGAGAGACCTCATCTCTACATAAAAAAAGTAAGAGAGAAAGAGAAGGGAAAGGAAAGAAAAGGAAAGGAGAGAAGAGAAGAGAGGAGAGGAGAGGAAAAGAGAGGAGGAAGGAGAGGAGAGGAGAGAGAGAGAGGGGAGGGAGGGGAGGAGGGGAGGAGGAGGGAGGGAGGGAGGGGAGGGAGGGAGGGGCGAAGGAGAAGAAGGAGAGGAAGAAGGAGAAGGAAGGAAGGAAGGAAGGAGGAAGAAGAAGGAAGGAAGGGAGGGAGGGAGGAGGAGGAGGGAGGAGGGAGGAGGAGGAGGAGGGAGCTGGGAGAAAAAGATCAGGATTAGAACTTTGAGAAGTGCCTGACGGTTGCGCCTTTTTTGCCAACAAGACACAGCTGTGCTTTTCTTGAGGTTCTCACACATCACATCTTTCTGCCTGGACCATATTAGACATTTCCCTCTAATGGTCTGACATCATAGCCCCTGTGCTATCTCCCTGTCCTTCTGCAGGAGAATGGTGGGAAGGGCAGTGGAGGGAAAGGGGACTTTGATTATAACTTGTACCAGTGTCTGGAAATGAACTCTGAAAGATAAATTCTTGGCTGCTTAATTAGGAGGAGTTGTAAAGTGCTGGATTTGGGAAGACTTAGTTTTTTTTCTTGAGCAGAATGGGATGAAAGCCTAAACCTGGCATTGAGTACTGAGCCCCCTGAAGTTAGAGACTCCCACTGAGAAGATGTCCTGGCAACAGTGAAGATAAAGAAGCTATGACCCCTTTGGCACAATGGAGGGGCAGCCCCCTTTACCAAATGCCACTTTTGGTTAAGCTGGGGGCCCCTGAGCCATACCATGTTCCTTACTCCGCACAGGCATTGTGTGGATCAGGGTCTTGTTCTTTTCCTACCATCTGATTACTTGAAATAACACAGCCTGTACGTTGCTACTTCAAGGCTTTGCTATATTTTCCTAGTGATTACAAAATAAATAAGGTTTACTCCACCCACCCACCTCACTCCCAGTAAAGCCACAACTAGGAATCAAACTGATATTTGAATTCCTGCCCCTTGACTTACTAGCTTTTCAGCCATTATTAACCCTCCAGGGTCTTGGTTTCCTCACTAGTTAAAAAAAAAACAAAACAATGGCACTCAGTTGCTTACCTTTACAGGTGGAGATCTAGTGAGTAAATGCAGGAAAATCATTTGACAACTAGTAAACTCTCAACAGTTGGTAGCTATCAGAGTTCACTGTCTGGATGAAGAGGATACAGTCAGGAGCCCTCCCAGACAGACCCTGGGAGAAGAGCTGCCGCAAAGTGTGCAGTGGGCAAGGGGGTGCCACTGCTGCTGACGCAGCTCGCTTTGCTCAGGAGCTCCCAGAAGTGGCCACACGCCACCCAGTGCTGCCTGCAGCACACTCACACAGGCTGAGTGCTTCTCTGCTGGAACCGAAAATACTTGGAGAACTTTGCAAAGGTCGATTGTGGTTAACAATCTATCCCCATGAGAACCTCATACCACAAGAACACACATACACACGCACACAGGCACACACAGACACTAATCCCGTTCAAAAACAATCAAGAGTCAAGGAGGTAGGGCAATGCTTAGGACATTATTTTCCCTGGATGCAAACTGCCACAGAGCAGGGCTACAGAGATCCTGGGACCTGTCCCCAGGGAGATTCTTTTTAAGAACTTTGGTAAAATGTGCAAAGCCAGGGTAGGAAGTAACAAGATGTTGGCAGTGGTTAAACGATGGAAGAGTTCTGTAACAACTATTGAATTGGTTTGATTGATGTTTCTTTTATATATTCACTCCTGTCACTTCCCAGGTCAGCAACTTTTTCCAGGTGACACAGTAAAAATGCCTGCCAGTACACAGAGCTAAGCTAAGGACTGTCAATACTGCTCCCTAAAGTATTTCCACCCCCCGGTTTGGGTGGTGGGAGAAGAAGATCCTGCTTCTTTCTAGGGTCTTTCCTACTACTCTGCTGCCAATAGCACCTAAAAGACTCATGAATCAAATCCCAAATTTTATATAAATTTATAGCTGAATACATATGAGCATAGGCTTTGGGATCCCATAGAATTGGAGCTCCATTAACACCAGCAGGGAAAATTTGGCTGTAAGCTAACCTCTCAGAGCCCCTTAGAGCCTTGGTTTCCTCATCTGTTAAATGGGTCTTCATAAGGCCTACTTTTCCAGAATGTTGCTGGGATCAAATGAGAAATGTGTGCAAAGCCCCAGCACCATGCGTGCCACACAGGAAGCACTCAGGAAATGGTAGTGCATTATCATTAGGTAAAAGGAGTGATGATTTCTTCAGTGGTTTCTTTCAGTATAAGAGATTCTATCCATCCCCAATACAGGAGAGAGAGTCTAATACACCAGTCCTTATGTGATTTGTAATTATGCTATACAACTCAAATTCCTGTGGAATGGTGAGTATAATCAATCTGAAGCTCTCAGCAAGATCCCTGGGCCAGATCTTCAAATCCGTTATCACGGTGTCAAAGAACTAGAGGAGGGGAAGAAAAGCACCTCTGTGTTAAGTACACCCGCCCTTCCTTTCTCCCAAAGGATGTTTGTGCCCATCTCTTGATGACTTCAGTTCCCAGAGAGCAGAGCCTCTTGGGAAACAGGAAGTAGCAAAATGCCAGTGAGAAAATCCCCACATGAAGATCAGCAGTAAATCTCTTTAGGCAACAGTTCGGTCAAAGGGGGGAAATTCCCCCACCAGCCCTCAGAAACGGTCCCTCAGGAAAGCTTAGAGAAGGTTCATTCAGGAAACCCCCTCAGAGGCCACAGAACAGAAACGGAAAGCTGCTTCTTAAGAGAAATCTGAAAGGAGCAAGCCAATTCGTGGCTGCCTGGGGAGCGCCCTGCTCCTGCCTGCTTCCCCCTCTCCATCCTGATCCTGAGGGTAGCCCCCAAGCGACCCAGTAGCCAGAGACTCTTGACACCCACTCTGCCCAGGCTCCCAAACCCCAGGAATTAGTGCCACAAAGCCTCTTGACACGGATTTGCTTCTTGTTAGGACCTCCTGTGACCCACCCCCATGGGGAAACAGCAAGCCACAGCTGTCACAGTTTCCCTCACAGTCATGCTGTAGCAAGCCCATCAGGTTTACCAGGTTTTAATCTACATGTGACCTTGGGGTCACATTTCTTAGCTGCTGCTAAGCTCCAAGAGGCAGGGAGGAATCTTTCCCGAGAGGAAGGAAAAAAATCACATAAACCTTGTCCTGTGTGGGGCTCAGAATGGAATATCCGCCGATGAGCTGTAGCAGAGAAAGTGTATAAACACGGTTAGGAAGAGCTCTATGGATCCCCGACCTCCAGATGCAAGTGAGGCCTTGTCACTGCTGCCACCAGTTCTCCGTGAATCACGCCCACTCCCTTAGAACTTCCAGTAATATTTGGTGTTTCGTTTTGTTTTTATATGTGACTTAAAGTGACTATTTCAGGGAAGTAATAAAAATGAGATTTTAGTAGAAGAGGGAGAAAAGTAGACCCCTTCGTGACTGCTTAAATTTCTTTTGTTGTACGCTTAGACAAAATAGGTATCAAATTTTGGAAAAGCATTGTTAAAGGAGAAAGTACTCTGAGTTTAAAATCCTGTAAAAAATTATGCTTTACTAGAGTATTTGTGTCCTTTTATGTAGTAAGGACCCACTGTTGTATGATTCACAATTATAGATTCAACTTTCAAGTATTTTCTGACTCCTAGAAAATAGCCCTGGCAGAGCCACTTTTCTGATGTCTTCAAACAAACATGGTTCTTATTCACTTCAATTCCTGTGGCTTTTTAAGATTCTTTTTTTCCAAAAAATGTAAAGATTCTCAGCCACCTACTTTTTCCTATGCTTAAAAAGCCAGAAAACTCCTTTTGGGTTTGGATGTTTCCTAGCAATTAGACTAGTCCTTAAATTCATTTTGTATATGCAAAGAATCTATTACAATAGGTATGTTTAAACTACTATCAAAGTCGTCTACACTTGAAAATTCTAGATAAATTGTCAACATGCCCTCAAGAAGTATTATTTCCATTTTTCATCTGGGACCCTAGGAGGTATTCAATTCTTAATTCCTAACAAGACGAAGAAATATTTCTGATTTCAGGGAAAAGTTTTCATCTGCTCTCAGTGCCACTATAGTTATAAATGTGAAATCAATTAAGTGAAGATGCATGTCAGCAAAAAAACAGCCCTTTAATGTAGGCACAGATGAAACTGATTCGAACATGGATCTGAGAGTAATAAATAAATTTAAAAAGAAAAAGAGAGCATAGAGCAACTTTGATAGAAGTAATCTGTTTGCCTTTGCCCTGGAAAGTTTATAGTGTTTTAAGCAATTGTAAACATGTCAGTATACGTGGATACTGTTTCCATAGTAGCATAGCAACAGTTAGGACTTTCTCCAAACATACCCAAAAGGAAACTAAAAATAGCTTGTCTGCAATATCAAAATACATACATATACATATTCAGACAACAGTACACAAAATGATATGTAATTAAGTTCTGCAGACACCAACCTTTCACATAAGCCCATGATAGGTAACTTTAAAAAATCAATGAGTGCAGGGCCTTTAGAAATGGAGAGGAAACCAGAGTCCAAGAGAGGGAAAGGCAGATAACACCTTGAATTCTAAGATCACAGGCTCTTGACACCAAGTGCCTCTAGCCACTGCTTTGGCTGCTCTCTCTGACACTTCTCTTGCTTCCAAGGACCTCTGTGTCCTATTCACCTTTGACTCCTGCCAAAATTGCAGTTGAGTGTATAATACACACTATGAACTCCATTTATTGTAGCAGTCTCTCATTTTCTTAAATTTTCCAGCCAGTTCATTTCATCCGCCCAGAGAGATTGAATGGTAGTTGCATTTTTTTAAAAGCGTAGAGCACCAAGTGTCATGCTTTCCCACTGAACTTACTTAAACTGACACTCAGTGACAGAAATAGTGATTCCAAAATGAAGAGAGTGTCTTTTTTTTGGACCTTCGCTGTTTGTACTTTTTATTTATATCCAAGAATTATAAGTATTTTAAAAACATCACCTAGTGGGAAATATTATTACTGGAGTATATATAATTTATCATCTAAACAGGGACACTTGTGAAACAAAGTGTTATTTATAATTACGTTGGGAAAACAGATGTAAACCAAAATTGTCCCAGGCAGGCCTAGACTAATGGACATACAATTTTACACATAAGAATATAAGCGTCTTGAGGGCAGGGGTGATGTTTTATTTATTTTTGTATCCTCAGCACCTTCTGCAGTATGTGACACCTAGAAAGAATTCAATAAATGCTTGTTAAATGAATAAATTTAATCATCAGATTGTTTTTGTAAATCTTTTAAAAGTATTTTTATACATAATACTAAGCTGAACATACTTCTTTTTTTAGGTTCATAGTCCACGTGCTCAGGTAAAATAAAATCTCATATAGCACTACAGGGTGAATCTTCCTTCTTCATCATCTGATCTTCTCCCTAGAAGTAAAGAAGATAAAAATGGAAAAGTAAAATATATCCATGAGTCATAAAAAAAGATAATTCTATCAGTCTGGGATGGTTTATGAAAGCACTAAAGAAGGGTTAGAGTATGAATTCAGATAGGAAGCAATTTTATAATCTCTGCAATGGTTATTATCCTGGTTTCATTTTTCTTTGCCAGGAATGTTGGCCCCTAGGGAGAAATGCAGAACAAGTAGGGAATGAGTACACTCTGACTAGGAAGAATGCTTGTCTTTGATGATGTGGAGTGGAGAAGAGTACTTGCATTAGTGAAATCCCAGGAGTGAAGGTAAACAGCCTCTTCCCTTTCTACCCGGATCTGCCAGTTTTGCAGAGAATGCCTTACACAAGTCATTTTCCCATTTAATGGGCCTGCAGTTCTTGGTTTAAAAGCTACATCAAAGGACTGCTGTGGGAACTTATCATTACATTCAAGTGAAGCAATCCTCCTATGAAAAGTGCTATAAATCTCCCTACTTCTCAGTGAAGAGGCAGCAGAGTTTGCAAGATGATATTACCTGTCTTTATTGTCTCAGACTACAGGCCGGCTGTTTGTTTGGGTTTGCAGCCACATGATTCTACAGGATATTTCCTAACTTCTCTGCAGCTGAGTTTCTTCATCTTTCAAAGAGGGAAAATAATTGTATCCCTTCTAGGGTTGTTTGTGAGAGTAAAATGATATTCATATAAAACACCTACAGTGTAAATGTGAGTTATTATTATTGTCTAGTTATATATTTCTTTGGACATTTGGCAAGAGTACTAATGGAAAAAAATTTGTAATTAAAGACAAAAATTTTGCCTTCATGTTTCTAATCCAAATCAACCCAAATATATATACCTAATGCCAGAAGGAATCTGCTAGACTTTAGCACACTTATGGGCTAGATCCTATTTTCATCTCCCTCTCCAGAATTTCATTGCTGATTACTCTCACACTAAGGGGACTTCATGTTTTATTGTTAGTGTTGTTATTATTCATTAAATTCCATCAAATTCAAGCCAGTTTACATCCTGGGCCATAACTAGCCACTACATTTCAGGGAAAGTTGAAGGCCATGTACAAAAAGAATGATTTCTCTTCTTTAACATTTAATTTAGAGGCTAGGAAAGTTCCAGAGAAGTGTGTTTATTTACAGAATTATGTAAGGCCTTATATTTAATGAATTTCTGGTGTCTAAGGGTGGGGGTGGGGGAAACAGGCTCTTTATAAATATCAAATCATGTTATCTACAGAGTGTGCCAGTTGGTTAAATAGAGCCAAATTCTGTTCAGTTTGATAATTACTGAATTTGACATTCATAGAAGTTCTTTTTAAATTCTGGGAATAAGAAATCTATAAACTCATTAAATTATAAAATGTTTCAGCCTTATTATCCTAATACAATTACCTCATGAACTACATTGCCACAGGAAGTCTTTCGGACAGCTCCTGATGTTTAGAAAGATTCAGTAAAAAGGGTTTGACTCATATAAAAGCCACCACAATGTGGCTTCAAAAATAAAATTGAACATTAATCCATCTGATTTAGAGTTGTGGTTAATGATTCTAAGGAAAGATATTGTTACTCATGCCCAACACAAGTCTTCTGTCCAACAAATCTACACTGGCATTCAAAGTAAGGAAGGGCAAAGGAAACAGGATCCAAACTTATTTAAGAATATTCTGGGGCAGGAAACTTGGCCATAACATCTGTCTGTTTCTTTTGAATAATAATAGCAATAATTTATTTATCTAGTGTATTACCATTTATCCCTTAGCCAAATCAAAGGAAATATAATTATTTATCACAAGACAGGCATTTCTAATGAAGCTTTTATGATCCAATGCATTTAGTAAGCTATAAAGTTCTAAGTAGCACCTGCATTTTCTTAGCACCTTGATTTCTTCAAATCCCTCCTGAAATGTCCATGTGCTAAGGAATAGAACAAGTATGGTGGAGTGGAAGTATGTGGGACTGAAAGTAGGAGAAACAGCTTCTTGTGACAGTCACAGTTCTGTGACTTACTAACTATGAACTTGGGCATGTCCTTTGGCATTAAAATGTTGTTAGAGAACAGGAAATTCAGATGGCCTTGAAATATCACCCCACAGAGTACTTCTTAATTATGGAGGAAGAAAGATACCTGTACAATGGAGAAATCTGGCAGACCACCTTAACCTACTGATCAAATTGAACATTGCTAACAGTGAGCAAACTGACATTGTATGTCTCCATCTCACGCCCATAGCAGACCTCATTAGTTGTTCTCAGCACAGTTTCCCACAAAGCCAGGACACAGCCTCAGAAGCTTTCTCAAGACTCATGGCATTGTCTTAGAGAGACATTTGAGAAGCTCAACATGGTGCTGATACTGTCCTACTTTGATCTTCAAATAATGGACACACATAAAGTGGTGCCCACTTCTGCAGTAATGGAAACCTCCCAGACATCTCCCAGGTGGCTCGGACTCAGGGTAGGAGAGATTGAAGATCCTGAGGCCTTGTAGAGAGGACAGTCAAGATGGTTTTGCTGACTGAGGAGGAAATAAATGTGCGTGTGTGTGTGTGTGTGTGTGTGTGTGTTTGAGACAAAAACAAAAACAAAAAAATGCTGTTATCTTTGTGGAAATAAATCCCCTGGTCATAAAAAGATTCTAAAAAATGACAAACTTATTCCAACCTAATAAAGCATATTTTTATTATTTCTTATGACAAAATTTATTTTATTTTTTAAAATGACTCATTTATTTCTTGCTCACAATCATCCTATTGAGCAAGTGGGAGATAGGAGCAAGCTATGCAAGCTGGTCAGGAACTCTGGGCACCTGTATCACTTTGGTGCCATCACAAGCTTTCCTCTTTACCCCTTCCCATGGCTCATCTCCAGACGCCCACCAGGAATACCATCTCCAGGGATCCTGGAGTTCGAAAATTACCCTATACCTTTCTTCAGTAACTGATCCCTGTGAAGAGCCCAGTCTCATGCAAAAATGAGAAGTTGAAATGCATCTTTGTTGCTGGCCTGTGTGTACC